TTTTCTGGCCTCCTAAAAATTCTAATTGCTTAGCTGTGTCTGGTTTTAGTGCCCATTCATACCACATTCAGATAATCTCCAGACCAGACCAGATTGTTTCCGGACCCAAAATGCATCCTAGTGTATCCCTATGCTATTTCTGGTCTCTGTTCACACCAGCGCAGTCCGCTCCAGACCAGACCAGAAAAATACTGCATGTCTCATTTAGTCTGGTCTGGAATGCACTGGATCACATCACAAACGTATACAAACAATACAAACACACGGGAATGCACCTGAAAACCATTTTAAGCAAATAAAAAACTGCCAAAAAAAAAGCTCTGGACCACGGCAAAATCATTGTAAAAGCACAGTAATAATGCACTCGCAATGCACTGTGTTCCAGTTCTGGTCCGGAAAATGGTGTGAACCTGCCCTATATGTTTCTGGAGACGCCTGCAGCAAATGAGTATTAGAGAAAAGTCAGAATTCCTTATTAATATACTTGTTCCAGGTCAGTGACACAGAAAGTGTTGAAGACAAAGCCCAGAATGACAGCCATGCAACTAGCATTTCAGAAAGAAAGGTCAGCAATGGTGGTCTCCATAGTTCTGTCATGACTACACTTTTACAACAACAGTTCACCAAGTCTCCCTACCTTACAAGAACTGGAGTAGATCCCCAGCCTGGGGTCCAGTCTGTGCTGCTGTGCTGTGATGGAGCTCCATACATACGTGCATTGCTTGTACAGCTCCCTTGCGCGCCCTGTAGAAGTTCCGGGAGCCAGAATGTGATGTCACTCTGATTCAGGCACCGCTATAGGACACATGAGGGAGCTGCAAGCAATGCATGTGTGGGGCTCCCTCGCGGCCATAGCCCCATCCCACCTAAAGCTGACACTCGGCGCAGGGCAGCATATTTTGAATGACTGCTTTGCATGAGAACTGACATTGTTGCGCTAGGGGGAGGCCGAGGAGCCTCTCACCTAGAAAACTGGAAGGCATGCGGTGACCCACTGAACATGGGGTCACGACCCACTTTTGGGTCACGACCCACCAGTTGAGAACCAAGGACCTAGAAGCTCCATTTATGGCTATAGTCATTTACTACACAGGCCGCGATGAATGAGACTCCTGCTTTGAGGATGTAAACGAGGGTGCCGCCATCATGGATAGGTAAGTATGCATCTGGTTGCAGCAAAAATGTAGTTGTACTTTAATTTGACAATTGCCTGATCTCACACACTGCACCCTCAGCAGATGGCAAACTGTGTGTGAGGTCAGATGCTAGACAGGTCAGTACTTCTCAGACTTCAGATGACCTCTGACTAGGGTTGCCACCTTTTTTTCAAGCGGAAGTCACAGATTATTCATATGTAAATAGTGCCACCCATTCATATGTAAATATCACAGTCGAGACTATTTCCAGTGGGGTGCCAGTAGCCCCTATCTTCATTTTGGTTGCTGCCTGATATCTTGTGTCCAGGTTTCTGCTGCCACGAAACCCGAACACAGCATTCAAAACGCGGACTGACCGGGTCAATCCTGGACAGGTGGCAACCCTACCTCTGACCCTTTCTCAGCAATAACAGCTCCAATATTTCTATCCTGAGTGGTTCATTTAAAGCAGACCTTTACCCCCTTTCACTAAAAATCACATCAGTATGCAGCTCTGCACGTCGATATCAAATCATCTTACATTCATTAGTTAACCTCTTCGTGACGGGAGACGTACACTGTACGTCCAGCCACAAAGGGACCAACTGACTCGTCACGTACACTGTACGTGACGAGTTATTTGCTTCACTAGAAGGCTGCTAACCGCTGACAATCAGCGGTTACCATTCAGTAATGGATGTCTAACTATCTAGAGATCCATTACTGAAAGGGTTTACCTTTTTCAGACACCCGATACCTTAATATCGGGTGTGTGTAGATTGTCATTACTAAACATTTCTGAAGGTGCATTTGGTGTTATTTTAAAGGAGAACTATGAGGTGAGTGCTTTTCACTCACCTCATAGTTCTAGCCGACCTGTGACGATGAGACTGTCACAGGTCGGCTCAGTAGATCGGGAGGTGAGCGAACAGATACCGGGTTCGCTCACCTCTCGATCCTGTCACGGCTCTCTGCCGTGACAGGGGAGGGGCTGGATTCCCCCCTCCCCGCTCCGATCCGCCAGTGCTGACTGGGGGAACGGACGGGGGAGGGGTGGGTACAGCTGGCTCTGCCTCTAGATAGGCAGAGCAGGCTGTCAGTCACGCAGCTGGGCGGATCCCGGCACAATAGTCGGGATCCGCTCCGGCTGCGGCGTCTCAGTATACTGCGAACAGCAGCTCGCGGTATACTGCGGCGTCTCAGTGTACCGCACGCTACTGCTCGCGGTATACTGAGCCTAGGGTGACGGGAGGACGCTAGTTTGTGTCCTCCCGTTACCCTAAGGAGAACTATAGGGAAAAGCTTTAACTCCATAGTTCTCCTTTAAGAAATGAATAAAGTTCCTCTTTGAAAAGAAAGCATCACTGGGAGCAAGATACTGAAGCCTCCTCCTGAGCCTTGGTCCCAATAAAAAAAACATTCATCCAGCAAAATGACACCCAAACCCCCACCCTCCCTCCCCCCTCCCATGAACATAAGATAAGTTATAAGAGAATAACATGTGTATGATGTTGGTGTTAATTTATGGAAGTTAAAACTGAATAAACACTTAATAAACAAAAGATACTGAAGCTTGGCCCAGTGGGAGATTCCTCCAACCACACACTTTAGCGTAGATGGAGGAATCTGTTGCACTTTTTCCATCTCACCATAGAAAGTCTGCAGATCATCTATAGGTGTATGACCAGCTTTAGAGGTGCTCTTAATTACCTCCAGTTTTGTTATCTACAAACTGGCAGTAATTGCATTTGAAGTGCTTTAGGGGAGCAAAGGTCTTTAAAGTCATTAGGTTTCTACGCTATTTCAAATGCTGAAGATATCTCTTACAATGGATGCTGCTCCTTGATGTTTAAAAGTCTTAGGTACCTACAGAATCATCCGGTCTCCTGAGCACTGTCCCTTATATCCTGTTTTAGAATGGCTGCTTTCCATTGCAGGGTCCTATGGGGCCCCCCATTGTGTGTGCTAGTAAGCTGTGTGTCTCCACAAACACACAGCCATAGCAAGGTTACCCACTCCCTTCCCTCCTGCTCCCCACTCCTCTTTTCTCTCTCTTCCCATTCCAAGCTAGTAGATGAACAGTTGCTGGAGACTGCTCTGTCCCTTGTGATCTTGTACTGGACAGGAATTTCAGGGAAGCTGAGCTGAGAGAATTGGAGCTGACTGGAAACATGATGACTGTAAGTGCTTGGCCAAAAAAAATGTAAAGCAATGCTTTGCTGCTCAATGTTTATTTGTTTGATCTGGATTCGTTATTGAAAAAAAAGTTTGAGAGTTTAATACTACTTTAAAATCTACAGATATGTGGTAAGGTTAGCAATACTATCCCAGGATCCTGTATAGGCAGTGGCGTCACAAGGGGGTGCGGGCCGCACCCGGGTGACACCATCGGAGGGGTGACACCAAAATGACTGAGTCATTTTGGTGTCACCCTCTCTAAAAATTGGGACACTCAGTCATGGACCGAGAGTCCGACATCCTGCCAGGTGAACGTCTCCCTCCTCTCTCCATGATGGCCGCCGGCAGGCGTTAATTAGATGACAGCGCATGTGCGATGACATAATGGCGGGGTGTCACCCGGTCTCGGGACGCCTCTGTGTATAGGTACACCAATAAGATAGAACAAAAATTGGCAGTGAATGTTTTATAAAAATAAAGCTGTGTTACACGATGGGGAGTATAAAAAAAAAAGTGTCTAGACAAGCTCTATCTCAACTGGTACAGTTGCCCTTAGCAACCAATCAGCTTCTACCTTTAATGTCTTCACGCCGCTTATAAAAATAACGTAAAAGTTTATTGGCTGCGCTACAGTTGCGACAAAGTTTCTCTCAGACACATTTTAATAATTTCCCCCAGTGTGTCCTCTCCCCCTGAGCTCCTCGTCTGCTTCCAGAGCGCTCAATCTCCTCCTCCACTTCTAAACCACAACACAAACTTTCTTCCCTTTCCTCTGTTCACTAATATGGGGCCCGGGTCCGCCAATCAGAGCCCTCCTATCAGCGGCCAATTAGAATGTGCTCTGTAGCAGCCAATCAGCGGGCGTCTCTCATGAGAACGTCAGAGGTTGGCTGAGCCTGTCAGTCTGGTGGAAGCTCAGTGCCACTGTGTGTGTAGTGAGCTGTCGGGCTCCGCTGTGTCTCCCTGTGTCCGCTCATCCTGTGATCCAGCAAGCAACATGCCGGGCGGCATCTGCCTCCTCCCGCTCCTCTGTGAGTACCAGCTCCCTCTCACTCCTCTACTGTGTGTGTGTGTGTCAGCTACTTACACGGGGAACTTTCTGCGCCTTCCCAGCCCAGCAAACTTTCCACATCGGCTTCAGCAGATGCCTCCATACACGTCCTGGTGTCACTGGAGGGGGCTGTGCTGGGCTGCCGGGCACTTGAAGGAAACTACTCGGGTTGGAAGTCTTTTCTGCTTGTATGTGATGAGTTGTGCTGAGCTCCGGGCGATGTGTGCTGGAGGTGTCAGTAGGAAAGTACACATGTCACTTCTCCACATACGACACATCGATCTCTGCACATGTATGTGTGTCCTAAGTCACCGATCTATACTGATCGGGACACACGGTGCAGGCGGGGCTGCACTGTCCATCATTCTATATATGTGTTCTCTTATTTCATCCATGTGTTACTTCATGTCCGCTGACAATCTGTCATTTCATTCATTTGTCGGATCAATCAATTTAATCGGATGTTCATGTTTTTATATGTGTAATGAAACCAATGGATTATCGTTTCCTTTCCGCGTCTCTTCTCTTTCCTCTTACTTTCTCTTTTCCTCCTAGATTTTGTTTTCCCTTTTTTCATTTTTTTCTTATTTCTCTCACTTTCCCTACTTTTTACTCTCTCTTCCTCTTGCTTGCTCTCATGCTCTTCCGATCCCTCTTCCATTTGTTCTTGTTCTCATCCTCTGCTCTTCTGCTCCCTCTTTCTTTTCCTCTTCCATTTGCTTGCTCTCCTGCTCGCTTTGCTCTTCTTCCTCCTCCCTCGCTTGTTCTCTTGCTCTTCTGCTCACTCCTTCTTTTGCTCTTCCTCTTGCTTGCCTTCTCACTTTTTTTCCTCTTTCTGCTCTTCCCTTTTGCTCGCTCTCTTGCCCTCCTTCTAACGCTCGCTCTTTTGCTTGCCTTTCCGCCCGCTCTCTCTCTTTTGCCCGCTCTCCCTCGCCTTCTCTTTTGCCCGCTCTCCCTCGCGCTCTCTTTTGCCCGCTCCCCTCGCGCTTTTGCTCGCTCGCTCGCCCGCCCTCGTTCTTCCGCTCGCCCTCGTTCTTCTGCTTGCTCGCGCGCTTGCTTTTCCTCTCGATTTTCCTCTCTTTTGCCTGCTTGCTCTCTTCTGCTCTTCCGCTCCCTCTTTCTTTTCCTCTACCTTTTTGCTTGCTCGCTTGCCCTCGTTCTTCCGCTCGCTCTTGCATGCTTTTCCTCTCGATTTTCCTCTTTTGCCTGCTTGCTCTCTTCCTCTGCTCTTCCTTTTGCTCTTCCGCTCCCTCTTTCTTTTCCTCTACCCTTTGCTTGCTCTCTTGCCCTTGCTCTTCCTCGTTCGCTTGTTCTCTTGCTCTTTCGCTCACTCTTCCTCTTGCCTTCTTCTTGCTCTTCCTTTTGCTTGCACTCATGCCCTCGTTCTTCTGCTCTCTCCTTTTGCTCGCTTTTACTGTCACTCTTCCACTCGCACTTTTGTTATTTTTGTTTTGTTTTTTTCTTGTTATTCATTATGTTTGAGGTTTTTGTCAGGCCATATTGTAGGGAGTTTTGGATAGAGGAGGTGCTGTTGAGTTGTTGCAGGGCAGCCGTTTGCCCTGGTCCTTGTTGTTCAGTGATGGCATGTGTTGGGGCCGTTGTTTTGTAGGTGGTCCCGGCATGATAGTTCCCTCTTCTGTACTGTGAGCTGTAATGGGAATCCTGGCAAGCTTATCCCAGCAACCATTGTTGGAGGTGCTTGCCGAATTCTAGATGGTAAATTTCTGTTCGACTGAAGTCCTAAATGGATTTGGCTGGGTAGGTGACGGGGCCCCACACTTCACTGCCATTAAGGAGGATTGTGATGATGACATGGTCAAAGATTTTAAGCCAGACTCTGTCTCCTCATAGCATTGATGGTTTTGCAGGCCTCGTTCTGTCTTTCAGTGTCTCTATGGATGGCTGGAAACTTTGGGTAATTTCTAGGCCAAGGTATGTGTAACTGTCAACAGTCAACATTCTCTCTCTTTTGCCCCTGTTCTCTTTCTCCTGGTTGCTCTTTTTGCCCCTCCCGTTCTCTTTCTCCTGGTTGCTCTTTTTGCCCCTCCCGTTCTCTTTCTCCTGGTTGCTCTTTTTGCCCCTCCCGTTCTCTTTCTCCTGGTTGCTCTTTTTGCCCCTCCCGTTCTTTTTCTATCATTCCCTCATCCTCTTTCTCGTACGTCTGCTCTCTCTCGAAAATGATTTTTCAGTATAAATACATTTGCTGCTTCAATCTGATGGTCATGCAGATAAACTCCAGAATTCGAGCTTACAAAAAATGTATCCCCAGTTCCAACTTTTTGGTTGACCTTGTGTTGTAGGTGCAGAGATATATACGGTAGATGCTGTTTACGGTGTTCTATTGTGCATGAAGATTCAGCAATCATTCAGGTGTCAGCATCTTTCCAAACCAATGGTTGTAAATCTGTGGTGTGGGTATCTTAAAAGGAAACTGTCAGTGAAAAATATGGGAGCTGCTGTCGCTGGTTTTTGAAAGCATGTGTCCTCGGGCTGTCAGCCTTATCCTTCCATCCCTACTTATGGGTCAGTTTACCAAGTGCAGCAGCTATTTTTTACTGCATTTAATAACTCGCCTCATGGTTTGACATCAGTTCACATACTCCATATAGGTGTGGAATCAGGATTTCTCTCTCGTTATTTAACCATTGCAAACCTTTTTCTCCTCTCCTCCATAGACTCTTCATAGAACCTCCATAGTTAATGTCAGCTAGAAGGTAGCAGAAATTTAAAGGGAACATTAACAAATAGTGGCCATTGCTGACCTTTTTTCCTGAATATACCAGTTATCTGGCTGTCCCCTGACCATTTAGCTTTAAAGAGAACTATGGGGTAAGTGTTTTTTCTCCCTGCAGGGAGACGATTGGTAAGTGAATGGATCGGCCACATGTTTATGCTGACTTCCTGATCGATAGAGCCGATCTGTGACAGCTTCTTTGTAACAGGTCGGCTCTAACTATGAGGATGAATGGAAATTGCTCACCTCATAGTTCTCCTTTTTAAGGACCTGTATACACCTAGTGAGCTGTACTATCATGCACTTTACCATAGTGCACTGCATTGCAAAATGTGTGTTGCCATTCCTTTTTAAATGGCACTCCAATGCACATACATAACACCCCTGCACAACAGTGCACCACGATATGCACAGCAGTGCAAAAACAATTGCAGGAGCGATTTCTGCTGTTTTGGGGTCTTTTCAGAATGGGTTGTGGTAATGCATGGCATCTCAAAGCACACAGCACGTTGACACATGTTTGATTCTAAAACACAAGAACACGGACAGGGATCTCCCGACACTGAGTTGAATGAATGAATTAATTACCAAGTAATGAAGCAAGCCAAAGTACAAAAACCATACAATATGCACATTCGCAAGCAAATCAGGATTGGCAGCTCCAATATTTTTATTATCTGAGGTTCCTTTCAAGGGCTTAACCTGCTTATATAGCCAATCTGTGTGTGTCTATTTGGGATGCACCGATACCGATTTTTGGGTAACGAGTACCCATATTTATCTTTCGGTACTCGCTGATACCGGTACGTCCGTTAGCAGGCAGCCGGCTTCCCAGACAATCGGGTAGCCGGGCAGAGTGTTTGTGCGGGAAGCCAACTCGATACTGATTGGCCGGGGAGCCAACTTTCCGGCCAATTAGGAAGCCGACTCCATGTTCCCTCACGGTACTGCCGGTCAGAGGAAATCTTCTTCTCGGAAGTTCCAGTATTGGGGGTAAGTATCGGAGCATTTGGGCGAGTACAAGTACTCACCCAAATACTCGGTACCGGCACCAATACTAGAATCGGTGCATCCCTAGTGTCTATGTTAAGTAAATTCACCCTCTGTTTGTCCTGGTGACCATTGTCACTGAGAAAGAGATTGATGGTAAATCCAACATTTTAAAGTTGTCACCAGAACAAGGGGTAAGTCTAAATTCCAATAGGGACACCTGTTGTAATGACAAATGTTTTAGAGGATTGAAGATTGAAGTGCCACACTCCCTTTTAATAGTCCGAATACATCTTTATTCAATGTAGGATTGAGAAGACAGTATAGAAATAGCCAACACCTTGATCCGGGCATACTGAGGGAGAACATGTATCAGGACTGTGGTGGCTTGTAAAGAGCTCTATGCATTCCCACACAATGGACAACCCAATATCCAATTTCAAGCCATCACAGTCCTGATACATGTTCTCCCTTAGTAAGCCCTGATGAAGGGGGTATTTTGCTTGAGACCCCAAAACGCGTTAGCTATTTCTATACTGTCCCCTTAACCTGATACTGAATGAAGACGCATCTGGATTATTAAATGGATTGCGGCGCTTTACTTCATAATCCTGCAATTTGACTCTACAAACCAAGGAGAAAGTGGAGATCCTCTGAAATACAGAAACTGCCTGTGTCGTTGTCAGATCCACCTACAGCAAGTCTTTCACATCCTAATTGGCCAGCCACACCAACCGGACAAACCGTGCAAGTCCATCACTTTTATTCCACTTTAAGAGGAGAATTCCCCTCACTTTGTAGAATTTTACTCCCACTTTCTTTTGTGTCTGTGGGACAGGTAAGTGGAGATCCCTACCCCCGATAGGACACGGAGAGCAAAATAAACTGATAGAGGTTATAACCTTTCCCATTTGGCTATAATTACATTTTACAAAATGTAAGCCATGATAAGTTTCTGTATGTGAAATTGAAGTTCCTGGACTACAGTACACAATAAGGTGGGAATTGGGATCTACATGTATAATGAAGCTTCTTCTCCCCAAAACATTTTGGGCTGCACCTCCATTTTAGATAAGTAATGTCCATTTTACCCATACTTCTTTCTTGTGCAAGATTGCAGTGTAATGTATCAATTATAGTAAAAATGGAGCAATTGTAAGAGTTTGATTTAGTAGACGGCCTCCGGCAGAGCTCATTAGTGTTTTCTATCATTCGCTTTAAAGCAGACCTTCACCCCCTTTCACTACAAATCACATCAGCATGTAGCTCTGCACGCTAATACAAAATCATCTTGCATTCATTAGTTAAGCAAACTTAATTTTCATTTACTTACAGATAGAGTTCATCTACTTCCTGGCCCAATTTGGCACAAATTACATAATCGTGCCCAAGCATTGCATCCTGGGAAGGTTACATCAGCAGAGCATTGCTGGGAAATCTCATGGGATCTCAGGCAAAGGCATTTTCCTCCCCTGAGATGATGTACATGGTTACATGATCTAGTCACATATGCCAGAGTTCCAGGAAGTAAATGGAGATGGATTAATCTGCCCTTAGTAAAAATGACCATTGTCAGAAGACTGGCGAGGAAAAGAAAAGACATGCAAAGAATAAACAGATGGCAATTATCTAGAAGTATGTGTTGGTAGATTGTCATTACGAAACATTTCTATAGGTGCCTTTGTTGTTCTTTGAAAGATATGGGTAAAGTTCCTCTTTAAAGGCTCAGTCACATGGCTGCAGAGGGTTGTACACCACCAGGAAGGGTGACTTTGTAAAGCTGTGGCCCTGTGACGCAGCTGGGCACAGAAATGTGCCCCTTCTTGGCGGTGTGGAACCCTTTTGTGGCCATTTAAATGAGCCCTTCTATCAGGGCTGGACAAACTAATATGCCCATCCCAGGAAGCTAGCAGGATTTTTCTACGAGCCAGCTCCACTGAACAACTAGAAAAATCTTAAAAATGTTGGCGACAGCTGAAATGTTTAAGGAGCATTGGCTACCTGGCTCCTAGGATTCGTCCAGTCCTGCCTTATAGTCATATATGACTTGGCACTCCCATGTTCTTCATGCTCTGGGCAGCTGCCTGCCTCTGAATATAATTGTAGGGTTCAACTACTGTGTTCAGGCTCCTTGAATAACACATCCCCATAGTGCGTAGTTCAGCCTTTAGTCAGTTCTTTATCTGTTCGCCTACTGGCTTCAGTGGAGTGTGAATGAAAATTGCCTGTATAGTTTATCATTCACATATGTACCTCTTGGATGGAGCGTGCTGTAATGCTGGTGAAGCCAGAAATTAACCCATAAGATATCCGTAAATTGTTTTTAATCTAAACTGGAATAATCCACTGAAAAATGTGTTTGAAGGTAACACACTTCTCGCCTTTGGCTGCTACAAAACCATTTTCTTCAATGCTTCCCCATGCTCTCGTTGAGGTGAGATTGTCTTATTATGTAATGGTCTGTGCACATGTATCATCTGTTCTTCAGGGAGGCTTGCTGATTTTAGGAGGTGACATCCACCGATGCCGACATTCCAACAAGGCAATCCGTCAATACTGTTCATTAACATGCTGCATACTATAGTGATCCTGTTAATGTGCCTTTTTATTATTTTCATCCACATGGGGATCTAGGCCTTAAATAGATTTATG